TACAATCTAGAAGAAATTCCCCTAAAACCTCCCGGGGCTGGTGGCGAGACAGATTTGGAAACCCGGGAAATGGGTTGGGAAGTTAAAAATGCCCTTGTTGGCCTTGCCGGGGCTGCGCCAGGGACAGCGGCTTGGGCAGGAGAGATGGAGAAGCCCACGCTGAAGTGCTTGATGTTCTCCATGGGGCAGCTGCGCTGTTGGTGCATGTGGCACATGGGAAATAACTAACAAAACCATGTTAAAATGTGTGCGATGCAAACGCTGCTCTTCTTACCCAGCATTTCAAAAATGGTAGCTCCTAAAGAGCCCTGAATTTTCATTTCTTTTAAATGAGGCTCATCCAAATAAGCCTCTTGTAGGAAGAACTGCATTGAGCTCTTAGACTTACTTGAGGGGGTAATTTAATCTCTGACCCTGGGATGAATATTCTGAAAGTTCAAAGGCTGCTTTTAGCATCAACGTTACTTGACACGCCAGTGTGTTTGCTGCCCAAGCTGATTTTGCTTTGAACCTATGCAGAAATCTCTTTGCAGAAATGCTCTTCAGAGGGAAATCAATTGTTCTGTGTTCCTATATCCCATGTCCAAGTTAGGATTAAGACCAACTGGGGAGGGGGAAGGGAAAAATCGTCTTGGAAAAATTAAAAGGAAGAGGAAGGAAAGCAGGGAGGGAGGGAGGAAGAAAGGAAGGAAGAAAGGAAGGGATGGAAAGGTACCGATGAAAGCTCTGACTCTATACAGGGCTAATTCTACTCCTGAAATTAAATGTACAGGTACATCTATGTCCAGGTGGCTGCTCATCTCTGAATGCAGCTTGTGACCAGACTCTCTCTTTTGGAAAAAGCCCAGGAGGGATGCTCCTTGCAGGGGATCGAAGGGCAGCGGCTCACTCTCCTCCCTCCGGCAGAGGAGCACACTTCCCACCTCAGCCAGGCCCGCCAGAAAGCATGCAGCTTCAGTTCTCCAAACCACAAATTTCACATAAAGATTCCGAAAACATCCCCCTGCAAAGCTCAAAGGTGTCAAGACCCCAGTTAGGCTGGTGTAACCACACGGCTTCGGCTGGGCACCAGGATCCCAACTGCTCTGAGTACCGATCCCAGGTTTCGTACGGGCTATTCCCTAACAGCACGTCTAATTAGCTCCACTTACTTACATCCCATTAATCAGGTTAAAGAGTTTGCTTCAACATATGAGTTTCCTTCATCGCATTATGAGTTTGTTCATGAAATTTGGAAGGAATCCAGACCGTTTCCTCTGAGAGCCAGGCACAGGGCACTCTCCGGTGTTTGCACCTCACCACTGTGCCACTGGCTTTCCACAGGTGGTAGTTGACAGACTTGGAGTTTTGCAGGAGTTTTGGAAGAAAATGGGCCATATCTTATTTTTTTTTAATTGAAACTTTATAATGGGCTTTAAACATCTTGCTTTAAATTCTTCAAACCTTGCGGGTTGTATTGACCATGACGGTGCCATACTCGCATCCTTCCCTGTTCAGACCTATAGCGCTGGTTCTGAGATGCAAAATTTGGGAGGTGCTCTGCAGTTTTTAATATAGGCTCTCACTGCAAGTTCATGTGTATTCCTGAGATATGATAGATAGAGAAAAAAGTTACTTTGCTCCGTAAACTGCAGTGTAAATTGAGCCATGGTAGGGTACTGGATTTCATGATGTATTGAAAAAAAAAAAAGGATACATGCCCACAAAAAGCAATTCTACTCTTGTACGTCCACAGAATCATGCCACCACTTGTAAAACACTGCAGCAATGTGGATTTGGGTATGCTTTGTCAAAATAAATTAGATAGGAATATAAGTACAACATTCAGGCAGCCAAACAAATTGTAACAGAGAAGACACAGCAGACGGGCATGAACTGGAATCGCACACCGCAAACACAGTAAGCCCCATCCTGCATCTCCACAGCTGCCCAGACTCCAGCAGCTCTTTCTGGCAGAAAAAACAGGGGTCTGACAATGGCAGCAGCACGTTTATCACTAAAGGAACTTTGCAGTATTGCCTATCCTGACAAAATAACCTGAGCAGTGATGAGTATTTATTTATTTTATATATTGACAATTCTCCCTTGGAAACCTGTCTGTTGTGTTAGTCTCCTAAAGAATAAATCTACCCTTCTGTCACTGTGCTGTGTGCTTTATAGCAATAAACCTGAGAAAGCGTAGAGAACGGGTTCTGATTTTGTAAATCACGTGAAAGTCGAGCCTGAAGCTGTGCCTAGATTTAACACCCAGCTAAAGCTTTCACCCAGGTCCAAGGAGGGAGAAGCTGGGACGAACTCCCCAGGGCTGAGAATATCTTTCCTTCTGGTGCTCTGGATGCAGAGCCGCATCGTTTCATGCTCCCTGCTGCTGTCCTGGAGTTAGTAACTCCCTTCTGGGACTGACAGATCCACTGGTTTTCCTTCAGGCCAGCCTACATCTTAAGTGGATGTGCCTGGGGGCCTGATGAATTTGGGTCCCTGGGATGCACACAGACCATGCTGTACCTCCGTAGGAAGAACCCACATCAGCATCACGGCTGCAGACACTGTCCCCAGCCCAGAGGGAACGGGCAGAGAACGCAAGGGCTTCTGTCTCCCGGGCTTCTGCATACTGAACTCCTACGGCACGGAAACAGGGGACAGCCACAGAGAGAGTCTTCCACAGAGGTATGTCAGAAAACATCCTGCCACTCAGACTGTAAAGGCTTGGTCCTCTATTATAGACTAATCTTCAATATTATGCCTAGAAATGACCAAAATGCATTTGAAAGCTTAAGAAATGTACTTGTTGAAGGAATACATAAATCAGAGGATTTACTGATTACAGTATTTTTGGAGGGAAAGATTTCTAGCCTGGGCTGGCAATTTCTGCATGTCCAGTTTGAGTGGAATATTGTCAGAGATATCTGTCTCCTAGAAACACAGTTCCGAAAATCACAATACTAGCTGCTTTTTTTTTTTTTGAGAATGCAATGTGAAGCTCCAGCACATACTCAGAAATGGTATTGAAAATGTAAATATTGTAGCTGCTCAAAAACAAAGCTTTGCAAGCAAAAGAGGTCACTGACCACTAACATGCTGTGAACAGACCTTTTTTTTTTTTTCAGTGAGAGTTTGACAGCAACCGAAACAGCAAAACCATCTTTTTGCATCTATGCCAATTTACGCCTTCTTTGGAATTAAATGTGTATCTAGGCTGACAGCTTATGTACAGCAGACTCCACTTAAGATAGACACGGGTCGTCTGGATAATTGGATAACAAGGAGAAAAGCTGGTTTCCCAATCAAGTCAACTAGCTGGATGACTGGAGTTATCATTTAGGTCACAAGGAAAGTAGATTTTTGGGGGTTCGTTCTCCAGGCCTGGTTCTTCTCCCATCCACTGTCCGACAGCCCCTGGCAACTAGTCTGAGTCAGAGCTGGAAAGGACCCATCGGGCCATTTAATTCCTCGTCCTTGTGAATGCCAGATTATTCCTCATGTTTTTAGCATCCTCCAGTTTGATGTTTCCTGTATAACCAATCTTTGGGTCACTTCTGCCTCTGCCAGTAGCCAGGACCACCAAACCAGTGAGGCGTTGCCAACTCTGCTTTGCAATGCAACGGGGCAGGTAAGGAACAAAGACACCGCGAATATCTGCTTCCCAAAGTGGTCTGTGGACCCCGAGCGTGCGCTTCCGCCGCACTACTGCAGCATATCAGCCCTGATTACTATATAAATCTACATGTCAGCCATGTCCTAACAGTTAAGGCATTAAAAGAATCTATTTATCTCTTGCCATTAAGTGCATGTCAGGACCAGCTGAGCACCTGATAAAGTCTCCCTGTCCACCCTATTGCCCATTTTGTCTTTGTCCACACAGTGGACCTGAACACTGCACATGCACACATCTCCACATTCAGAGTTAGAAATTTTCATTAATTTATGTTTCAGTTCGAATTAAGACTTCTCAAGTTTCATTAAATTTCGGCAAAACGTATTTAAGGACTGAAGAGAATCCAAGGAGCACAAAGAGGGGTTAAAGGCATGCAGAACATAAAGGCATGCGTAAGTTAAAATAAGTAATTTTAGGATTATTAGAGGGAGGTTTGTAACTTCCATAATTTTGAGTCCAATGCAGAAATAGAAACACTGTCTTTGGAACCAGTACCAACATATAAATCAACTAAGAACAAGGAAATTTACAGTGTCCTTCTCTGCTGAGTTCTTTGCTATCGTTTCATTGAGGTGAGCAGAGAATCCAAGGAAGAAAAATGGAATGTTTTTCAAAGATAATTCAGTTCAGCCTAGGTTTGTTAAGACGTAAGTGGTTTAGGGGGAAGGGAAAACTATCCTACTTGTTATGAGTCAACAAACACACCTCTTCTTTGAAGCAAGGGTAATGTACCTCCAAACTTCTCTCTCCCCATTTATTAACCAGCAGACAGATGCTAGCACTTTACCGTGCTCCACAGCTTGACAAATGCCTGGCTGGCAGCCTGCTGCCGGAGCAGCCACGCACGGTGGGGCAAGTGCTCGTCCAACTCCCTGGGCAAGTGCCGTTTTCCAGGTATCATCTGAGCAGGAGAGAACTTTTTACGGCCATCTGGTAAGAAGAACAGCTCAAGAGCTGTTAGGGGATAGAAGTGGAAAGGGCATGGGAGTTCACGGCCTTATCACTAGGTTTTCTCTGCTGCACTGAGTCACCACATGCCCAAATCCTGAGAATAAAGTATGTTAGTGGTAGAGAGAATCCCACGACAGGCAGGAAAACACAGAGCGTAATGGCAGCGAGAGGAGGGTAGTGGGATGGGGTGAGTTGGGTCAATGCTCATGTTACTCACTATTGCTGCTTACATTTGCTGCTTTGAGATGGCATCTACCTTACACTCATTAAGAAGATTTATGTGTCTGGAGTAAAAGCAGGGAGAAATCTCTTTGGATGAATTTTAGCTCAGTGATGGCATCTCTATGAACAGCTCCTTCCTGTCTTTACACCTGCAGTACTGTGAGCCTAATCTTATGCCAAAGAAGCCGGCACTCACTGCTATCAGCTGGGTTTGGTGAAAATGGAAGGAAAATATAGACCTCTGTCTCTGACAAAGTTCTCAGTTTACAATATAATATAATGTCAAGTCTCTGGGGCAGTCAGTCACCTTAACTTGGCACGTCTAGATGACTTCAGCTTTCAGAGAAGGTATTCCCCTCACCTTTCCCCTAATGTACACAGCCTGAGGGGAGCTGACCCGTTATCGGAAGCGGATACTGTCTCAAAGTTCACTCTGATCACAGTGTGGGTCAGTAAGTGATGAAATAGGTGCCTTTGTCTATTTTCACAGCCTGTTTTTCCACCTTCACAGCCCTTTACAGACATGAGCTGATTAAATTCCACACCAGCAATGTGAGGCATCTCTATCCTCACTGCAGTGATGGAATTTGCACCAGATCTGCAACTGAGACCCATGCTTAGTGTTCAACCAACTCTTTCTGTTAATACCAAATCTTAAACCATCCCTTGACTCTGTCTTTTTCAAGACGGAAATCAGAGGAAAGACAGTTTGAAAGGTGACAAGTTGGGCTATGAAGGGTGCTTCTGCTGCACTCAGCAGCTCAGTTATTGCCTTCTGCACCTACATACAAGGGCTTAAATTCGGCTTCTTTGCAGCCTCCTCCTCCAGCAGCCGTTTGGTGACCTGCTGTGGGCTCAACAGCAACTCACCTGCAAAGCCGGGGGACGAGCTCTGATGGGAGAGCCCCTGAGCCTTCTCCAGGAGCAGGGAGGGCTCAGAGCGGCTCAAGGCCCTCAGCAATACACGAAGGCAACTGCAGAAGGAAGAGATGGCTTCTGCTCTGCACAGCCTTCCTGTAACGTCCACAGGTTGGCATTCCCACACGTGTCTGCTAGAGCTCGTCCTCTTTTTCCTTCCCAGGCAAGTGGCCAGAAGAGCGACAAGCGAGCTGGCAGCTGCTGTTAGAAGTCGCCGTTACTATCAGCTGCTGGTCACAACACAAATGGTGCAGGGATCAAAGATGGGCCTAGCCCTTTGACTAGAGGGCATTTTTTAAAACAAGTCAAAATTAATGGAGATAATAAAACTGCAATAACTGCGCTTTAACATTTCTGAGCACCTCCTACCACTGGGCCCCTTCTGAGCAGCATAATCTCTGACGTGCCATTCCATTTACTTAAACAGATGATATAATTTATCAATATAATGGACACTGATGAAGATGGATTAATTTGGATTACAGAACCAGCGCTTCGCAGTGGCTCTATTCAGGACACAAAACGAGGATGCGTGTGATTATGACATTGTTTGGAGCAGGGTGGGCAAGGGCAGCAATCTGCGCAGAGGCTCGGATGCTCCGGACTTGGCAGGGGAGGGAGGAGAGCCCTTGTCACAGCTATACGGTAAGGATGCTTCAAGCACCAGTATTTTTCTTCAAGTTACTTTAGGCTTCTCAGACTATGTTTATGTGATCTACTACTATTTTCTTTTTCTAAATGACTTCTCTCACACTAAGTGAGATCCCCATAAAAGTTAATTAATGAGAGAGGTAGTGTACAGAGAAAAGGAAAAGAAAAACTTAAAAAAAAAAAATTAAAAAAAATCACCATTGGGTGAGATGTACGTGATCTCTGATCACACCTCTTCTTTGTACCTGTTCCTGATCCCACTATGTCCCTGCTGGGAGATTCGCACATCGCGTCAGCCAGGCGCTCCCGAAGACCCTCTTCAGTGTGCTCCATGGAGGACATGTGACGGAGACCGAAGTTCTCGGGCCAGCTCCCGCACACCTCCAGCAAGGTCACGCTCCGGTCGAAGGCACCTTCAACAAACAAACGGGAGATGTTTGGGAGACCCTGGGACCAAGCTACTGCCATACGTATTATTTATTGCATTGGAAAGAAAGAAGCCTTTGCATTTTGAGTTCCTGAAAAACTAATTTTAGCACATTAGTTAAAACATTGGCGTTAACAGCGCAGCAGGAGCAAGCAGAGCCCTAAGCACTGAACGGCTTTGACCAAGCAGCTGTAAAGTAAAAAGGTTAAATTAAAAATACAGACCCAGTTCTGGTCTCACACTAGCGAGAGTCAGGAAATCAGCATAATGACACTGATGTAAATGACATGTAATGTTAAAAAAACCTGTACATGTGTTATTCAGTACATGTTAGACTGCACTGAATTATTTATAAAGTTTATTTGTCTTTCACTGGGCTGCTGTTGAGCACCCCTCTTCCCTCTTCTCATCTCGGACAATGGAAACAGTCAAGTCATTTTGGCTTTGCTAATGGGCACAAGTTTTAGCTAAAATCCCTTTCTTGCTCTCGAGCAGAAAAGTGCAACAGGGTGGTAGACTGCTGAGGAAAGGACGGCGTGCTTTCTGCCTTGTGTTTGAAGTACGTCTACTGAAGGAAAAAAGCGAGCCCTGCTTTCCGTCTGGGATATCTGTGGATTTTCGCTGTTCCTGCACTGTGAAATTTTAGGTGAAACGTGAGCTAATAGAGACTCTTTCATCAGCAGTGCCTTACTGAAGATGCTAGCTCTAGTGACGAGGCGCATGTACCTACAAAAGATACTTAGAATAACTCCTTAACTTGCAGTTACTACCTCATTCACAACAGGGTATGACGTTCTGCTGAATGCAAAGATTAGATTCTGAATTCAAGATCACTTCAAAGTACAAATTAAAATTATTCTACTTTATTATTCAGCAAGTCTTCTGCGAAGGCTTACTTAAATCGTTCCCACTTGGAACAAGATTACAGTTATGCTTTGTTGCTTCAAGCACATACCATTTACTCAACTATTAGGTAACTGAATATGCTGCATTTATTGTGCCTGGTTTCTGCCAGCCTACCGAGGGGAAAAAATGCAAATGCCAATGTTTCTCAAAGTTAAAAGTACATGAAACACGTCCTTGTTATCAGGCCTTTGGTTTTCCCCTTTGATCAGCCGTCAGAAACTATCTACACTTGTAGTCTGTGACTGTACAGCTTCACAGCACACTCCCTGCCACTGACAGGTGGTAATAGAAAGGGTGAGAGACCAAGCCCTGCGGCAGGCGTCCCTTCCTCTGATAACGTCCAAAGTACCGGGTGATAACCGTTAGTAAACACTCGGGCAGCCGGTTAATCCATACATCAGCAAAGAGGGGCAGATAATTTCGAACTCTAATGGCATGGACAAAAGCACCAGGGCTGGCATTCAGGGATTTATATGGGCTGCGATGGTGACTCCTGGCTCCTGAATTTCAGCGGCGCGCACAACTTTGATTTATCTCTTTGCCTGGCTGCAGAGTAGATTCCTGGCACTAGAAAACCATCAACACTAAAATGGACCTCTACAAAATGGGACCGTGGCTCTTATGTGATACATGCACTTGAACTCTGGATGAATCCCAGTTTAAACCGAGAGGAGGAATGACCAAATATTTCAACTTTTAATGGGTCTTTGGATTTATAAGGTTACTCCAGTCTACTAATTTGTTTTAAAGCAAGGGCTCTTGAAGCTTGTTTGAGAAAATGCAGTGAGGAGGCAAAGTCATTTCGGTGGTGTTTAAGTCTCTGCAACATTTCCAGCTATCCTAACTGCAGGAGGAAAAGCAAAATTTGGTCTTTTTTTTGAAGCTTCTTTTTTCAAGTCATCCTTCTGCGGTTTCACGCGACCCCCCCTCTGCATATGCTCCAAGACCCCAGTGATTTCAGTTGGTTTTGACAGGGCTGTTCATATACCTGGAGAGCTATTGGGGGCACTTTTAAACCTGCATCCCAAAACCCCAGGGGGGCGGGGGGGGGGGGGGAGCTCCTACAGGTTTGCAGGGCTGTGCTAGAGATGAGCGATCTCTTCTTTACCACTGTCTGGCCTTATTCCGAAAGTGAGAAATGGGAGCATTTCTGCTCCCATAGGCAGACATACAAATAATAAGGCAAATGGCTTTTGAAGCTCTGCCAAGATGCCTGCATATGTGTACAGGGAGAAACTTCATAAAGCGCTGGTCTCTGGCTCCTGAGATACTTGAGTGAGAGCAAAGGAGACAAGTGCAGCGTTACCTCTGCAGTCAGGGCCAAGAGCTGCCAAAACTTCTTAACAGCAACGTGTGAGGTTGCAAGTGTTAATGCAAATGCAGGTTCAAGGGATTAACTGCATGGGAAGTCTTCTTGTAAAAAACTGTAAGGCTGGTGAAGCTCTAAGGTTCACCTTTCCCCCCACTGCACTCCTTTTCCGAGTACACATCTGGCAATGCCATTCACGTCCAGGCATCCAGCTGAAAAACCCCTGTACCCTGTGGGGATCACCCTACCTGTGAGTAACAGAGGGGGTCTGTGCTCCGTCATCTGCTCTGCAACACAGTGGAATCCACAAATTCTGCCTTATTTCAATATACACATTGATGAAATGGGTTCCACGTAAAGCCGAACACACGGACGTGCAACCGAGCTTACTTGCGGCATGGGGGTAGAAAATGGGACCTTGCTTGAACAGGCACGTCCTTTCCTACCATAAAGCCCTGGCTCTGTCCCTCTCCAATGTAAAACAAAACTGTTTCAGGGAAAACAAGACTGACTGTCCTGGACCTTCCTGTTCTTCTTGCCATTGCATCAGCAGACAGCACACGTATCAAAGTAAAATAACTTTTTTCAAGGCAGAATTAAGTTCTGGCTATTTTTACGCCTTGGAAAATTCTTCTGCAAAGTGCATGAAATGGCAGATGGGCTGGTTGCTCCCCAGGAGCCTTTGGGTGCTTTGCCCTACGTACATCTTTACCAACGGCACACGAGGTAACGGCATTAAAATTGCACTGCTAGCAGCTAAGCATATCTTTGCTATTTATTAAATTGTAATCTCTTTTTCTGGCTGCCTTGCTCTCCCCTCTTCAATCCTAGTATCTCAGTTGATAACGTATCAAATTCCCCATCGTCGGCCAGAGAGGCGTTTACAAATAAACCTCAGTGGAGTGTCCTGCTCTCGAAATCCCCAAAAGCCACAGCCAGAATGTAACTGCAGGACCAATGCGGCTGAGAAAGCTCCTGCTGATTCAAGGGATTACCGAAGGGTTGAGAGAAGGCAGGCTTCACCCTGTGCCTTTACCGACAAACCGCTGAAATCCTACTGACAGCCACCAACATCAGACCTCGATGTGTGAAGCCGAGCCTTTCTTCTGTCCCCCAGACCTGATACAGCTTTGATGGTGGAACAGGTTCCACCTAAAAGGAGCAATTCATTCAGAAACAACTCAAGAAAGCAGCAAATCAGGTATTGTTTTAGTCAAGCAATTGCTAGTGAAATCCTGGTGAAACCTCACTAAATCACTGAAAAAAAATCCCATTGACTTAAAATCATGTCAATATTTCATCCTATCGCGTGGTGCTTTCAAGCTAGCAGAACGTTTACTTTTCCCCTTATTTACTGAAGATGAAGCCGGGTGGAAATTAAGACCATCGACCTCCTTTGTATGATGCCCAAGCACCGTCCCAGACCCACGACGCTATGAAAAACAACTCCAAATCAAACCAAATGGAACAAGCAGAAACCTTGGCTTAAACATCTAGGTCAAAAGTGCTTTGTTTTGCAATTCCAGCGTGTTTAGCCTTACACTGCCCCAAACACTCCAAGCTAATTCTGCTCCACACGCAGGATTTTCCTATTAAAACTTTAATTTTCTCCTGATACCGATCTCCCACTTCTGTCCTTCCACTGACATTTGCCTCCCAACGAGCACTGCCCTTTACTCACGCTGCTACGGAGGGAGCCGAATCAGGCCTCCTGTCTTTCTGCTTAACGTTTCTCACATTTTATTAATGGCAAAGGCTTCTGTTATTACTCATACTAAATCACCTTGCTGAGAAGCACAGGATTTGTCTTTCGCGTTGCAATTGTTTCAAGGCTTTTAATATAAAAGGAAAAGAAATTCTACCGAAGGAAAAAAAAACCCCACATCAAATCTTGGAAACATCCTTTCATTTCACAGCCCTACCAACCAAGACCGAGAAAACCAGAGAAGCTTATTTTCTTCTCTGAAAAATCTAGTAGTAAAAAGTATTTTTACAAAATATTTTAATGCTTCTAGTGTGTTATTTTTCTAAGTCAAAATAGCTAAGCTAAATCTTTCACCATAGCCCTTTAATTTGAAAGCCAGGGGAAATTTTTTTCATTAAACCTCTGGACGGCTTTGTTTAAAATATGAAATCAAGTAGCTCCATTTCCTGTCTTCTAAGGAACAGTAAATCAAAAAGAGTGCGTTCTCCAAAAATACAGTAATGGTTCTATTAAAGACCTTGACAGTTTTGAGCCTCACCTTGCATATTGCAACATACGTGTGAGCAAAAATAACAGAGTAAATAGGAGAGGAAATGACCTGCCAATTTTAACCGATAAAAGATGCATCCTTCTCATGAAAGGGATGGGGGTTCGACCCC